AGTAAATACTTCAAGGCTTAACGTTGTATATGGGCCGGGGGCTTAAAAGGGGGCTATGATCTTTGATCTGATCCAATTTCCAATTTGAGCCTAGACACTACCTTTCCTGCCCTGTGTGAAGCGAAGACATTAACTGTTAGAGAGTGTAGTGAGTGAGTTGGGTTTAACGCCGCTTTTAACAGTATTCCAGTTATATCACGGCGTGTCAGCTTAATGTGGGAGGAAAGCCCGAAATGATGCAGGTCTCAGACGTTTACCACTTCGGCGAAACCCACGAGCACGGGTGTGGTGCTGACAAACCTAGAAACATAATCAGGGCGAACCGGGATTCGAACCCACAATCATAGGTTTCTGGCGTGCCCAAGGGACGCAACTCTGCACAGCGAATCGCGGCGCCTTAGACGACTGGGCCACCCGTGCCCCGTTTGAGAGAGTGTAAGAACCATTCACTGCACATATTCAAGTTTGAATGTAGTTAATCAAATAAATTTTAGCTTTCTAAGAAATATGCAAGTTGTATACTGGCCAACAGTCACATGTTGTATTATGGTCATACACTTACATGGTGTATGATTCTATACCATCGGTCATACATTTACTGCATGTAACATTTACAACCAGTGATGTTTTTAATGCCAACATTTTACTCTTATACATGTAATATATGCATTGCTAGCATGTTACATTTGTTGCTTGTAATATAGTCCCAGCTTACATGTTACATTTCCTACAGGAATACATGCTGCAAATACATTGACTCTATTCACCACATACATATATGTGGTAAATACATACATTATCATTGGTAATACATCTCCCCACGCAAAGCCACCACCTACTCCCCAAAACACAGCCTTCCAATCTGTTGAAACAATACAAGGACAGGTTCTTATGACCTATACCAGTCCTACAGTTATCGTTTATGCCTAAATACGCCCTATCATATCATTGTTAAGCATCGTGGATGTTAACATTAGCTTGGCTCCAAATGCGTTAAATCCTACTCGGTTAAACTCGTGAATGGAATATTACCTAAACGTTAGTATTCGGGTCTTTCACGCGTTGACATTTTTATAACAACCGGGCCTATGGCGACGTCTTGCATTTAACGTTTTATTACTTTGTTGACGATTTTGTTCTCGAAATGCAAATGGGGGAAATATTAGTTAAAACAACTTAGGTTTACAACTGCTGGTTCAAAGTGAAATTTCGCAAAGAAACGATTTTTGAAGCCCAAACTGGATTCGGGACATTTTAAAAATCTTCTATTTCTTAATTAGTTAATGAGATTTCGCAACAAAGTGAAATAAAACATGGATTTTGATTCAAATTTTGTGAAATATTATGAAGGCGAACCTGAAAAACCAAATAATGAAATTTCTTGCCCTAATTATACACTGTTATTGCAATGGTTGCGATGAAGATATAAGATAATATATATTTGTTGGCTTCCGCCACAGGACGTCTATTTCTGAAGATGAATCAATGCTGCCCAGTTTATATACATGGACGCTTATATTTGGTAACATTGATTCTTATATCCGATTACCATACAAACTGTCTCTCTTTGAAAATAATTGTAGTGCCCTTGTAAAGCTGTGTATGAAAACCATGAGGTTCTATATTTGGGGTATGCACCTCGTTAATTGACATAGCATATTCCAATAATCATTAGAAAGAGTTGGAACTATTCACTGCACTTGTTTTACTTGTCATTAGTAAATGTAAGAACCATTCACTGCACTTGTTTTACTTCACTTTAGTAAGTGTAAGAACCATTCACTGCACTTGTTTTACTTGTCATTAGTAAGTGTAAGAACCATTCACTGCACTTGTTTTACTTGTCATTAGTAAGTGTAAGAACCATTCACTGCACTTGTTTTACTTGTCATTAGTAAGTGTAAGAACCATTCACTGCACTTGTTTTACTTGTCATTAGTAAGTGTAAGAACCATTCACTGCACTTGTTTTACTTGTCATTAGTAAGTGTAAGAACCATTCACTGCACTTGTTTTACTTCACTTTAGTAAGTGTAAGAACCATTCACTGCACTTGTTTTACTTGTCATTAGTAAGTGTAAGAACCATTCACTGCACTTGTTTTACTTGTCATTAGTAAGTGTAAGAACCATTCACTGCACTTGTTTTACTTGTCATTAGTAAGTGTAAGAACCATTCACTGCACTTGTTTTACTTGTCATTAGTAAGTGTAAGAACCATTCACTGCACTTGTTTTACTTGTCATTAGTAAGTGTAAGAACCATTCACTGCACTTGTTTTACTTGGCATTAGTAATTGTAATGACCATTCACTGCACTTGTTTTACTTGTCATTAGTAAGTGTAAGAACCATTCACTGCACTTGTTTTACTTGTCATTAGTAAGTGTAAGAACCATTCACTGCACTTGTTTTACTTCACTTTAGTAAGTGTAAGAACCATTCACTGCACTTGTTTTACTTGTCATTAGTAAGTGTAAGAACCATTCACTGCACTTGTTTTACTTGTCATTAGTAAGTGTAAGAACCATTCACTGCACTTGTTTTACTTGTCATTAGTAAGTGTAAGAACTATTCACTGCACTTGTTTTACTTGTCATTAGTAAGTGTAAGAACCATTCACTGCACTTGTTTTACTTGTCATTAGTAAGTGTAAGAACCATTCACTGCACTTGTTTTACTTGTCATTAGTAAGTGTAAGAACCATTCACTGCACTTGTTTTACTTGGCATTAGTAAGTGTAAGAACCATTCACTGCACTTGTTTTACTTGTCATTAGTAAGTGTAAGAACCATTCACTGCACTTGTTTTACTTGTCATTAGTAAGTGTAAGAACCATTCACTGCACTTGTTTTACTTGTCATTAGTAAGTGTAAGAACCATTCACTGCACTTGTTTTACTTGTCATTAGTAAGTGTAAGAACCATTCACTGCACTTGTTTTACTTGGCATTAGTAAGTGTAAGAACCATTCACTGCACTTGTTTTACTTGTCATTAGTAAGTGTAAGAACTATTCACTGCATATGTTTTACTTGTCATCAGTAAGTGTAAGAACCATTCACTGCCAAAATTCAACTTTAAATTAAGTTAATGTTAGACGAATTCACGTAAAGTTTAAGAGATATGCCAACTGTAAACTGGCCAACAGTCAAATATTGTATTATGGTAAGGCATTTACTTCATTTATGTTGCATGTATCAGTGGTAATACATTTACTTCATTTATGTAGCATGTATCAGTGGTAATACATTTACTTCATTTATGTAGCATGTATCAGTGGTAATACATTTACTTCATTTATGTAGCATGTATCAGTGGTAATACATTTACTTCATTTATGTAGCATGTATCAGTGGTAATACATTTACTTCATTTATGTTGCATGTATCAGTGGTAATACATTTACTTCATTTATGTTGCATGTATCAGTGGTAATACATTTATTTCATTTATGTAGCATGTATCAGTGGTAATACATTTACTTCATTTATGTTGCATGTATCAGTGGTAATACATTTACTTCATTTATGTTGCATGTATCAGTGGTAATACATTTACATCATTTATGTTGCATGTATCAGTGGTAATACATTTACATCATTTATGTAGCATGTATCAGTGGTAATACATTTACTTCATTTATGTTGCATGTATCAGTGGTAATACATTTACTTCATTTATGTAGCATGTATCAGTGGTAATACATTTATTTCATTTATGTAGCATGTATCAGTGGTAATACATTTACTTCATTTATGTTGCATGTATCAGTGGTAATACATTTACTTCATTTATGTAGCATGTATCAGTGGTAATACATTTACTTCATTTATGTTGCATGTATCAGTGGTAATACAGCGTGCATGGTACCATATCATCAGTTATACATTTACTGCATGTAACATTTACAACCAATGATGTATTTACTGCCTACATTTTATTTTTATACATGTAATATATGCATTGCTTTCATTTTAAATTTGTTGCTGGTAATACAGTCACAGCTTACATGCTAATACATGCATTTCATTTATATAACACTTACCAGATGTAATACACACCCTTCATTTATACAACATCTACCACCGGTAATGCATCCATTTAATTTATATAACATTTTCCGCCGTTAATACATCCACTTCATTTATACACCATTTTCCGCCGTTAATACATCCACTTCACTTATACACCATTTAACACTGGAAATACATCCACTTCATTTATACAACATCTACCACCGGTAATACATCCATTTCATTTATACAACATTTACCACCGTTAATACACCCACTTCATTTATGCAACATTTACCACTGGAAATACATCCACTTCATTTATACAAACATTTACCACTGGAAATACATCTTCTTCATTTATACAACATTTACCACTGGTAATACATCCACTTCATTTATACAACATTTACCACCGGCAATACATTCACTTTATTTATACAACATTTACCACCGTTAATACATCCACTTGATCATTTATACAACATTTACCACTGGAAATACATCCACTTCATTTATACAACATTTACCACTGGTAATACATCCACTTCATTTATACAACATTCACCACCGGCAATACATTCACTTTATTTATACAACATTTACCACTGGAAATACATCCACTTCATTTATACAACATTTACCACTGGCAATACATCCACTTCATTTATGCAACATTTACCACTGGAAATACATCTACTTAATTTATACAACATTTACCACCGTTAATACATCCACTTCATTTATACAACATTTACCACTGGAAATACATCTACTTAATTTATACAACATTTACCACCGTTAATACATCCAGTTCATTTATACAACATTTACCACCGGTAATACATCCACTTCATTTATACAACATTTACCACCGAAAATGTTATATGTTTGAAAAACGATGAAACTACCACATGTTTAATGCATATTCTAAACAATCAATAACTCCCACATCTGGAGCCCCACTGAAATATAAATGTGTGTCATTTCCCGCGTTGTTGCTACACGTGTTCTTAAAATTGCGAGGTAATAGTTGACGAGGAGACATGGAGACAAGTGTAGCTGTTGGATCGCGTTCATCGCAAGAGTCAGACCAAAGCCGACGATGGACAAACAAACTGAAGTCCACACTTTACAGGAAGAAGTTTCTATACACGGCATGCCTTTTGTTCGCCAACTTTATGTCGGTAAGTCAATTGAAGCTGTTGCACACGAGTTCCAATTACACAAACGCACAATTTGAAATCTTCAAACCTTGTTGATAACATGATATCGGTTTCCCGTACACGGCTTGCACCGAACTGGTCACAGCTGGCTTGTGTTTGGAGGACGTACCACCTAAATCTGCTGTAGGCAACATATTTGCCATACGGTTATAACGAACTCAAAGGGACCATCATTTTAGTTCGTAATAACCGTAGTTCGTTATAAGCATGTATACAGCATATATACAGCATATATACATCAAATGGCCGGGACTAAAAATAAGTTCGCTATATCCGTCAGTTCGTTATAAGCGTGTTCGTTGTAAACGTAGTCTACTGAGGTAATTTTATCTTTTCCAAATCATCAACATTACATAAAACTTGATACCTTTTTGGGACCTTGGCTGTGTGTCATGGCCATTCAGAGACAGGATATGTACAATCTCCGTATGTTTAAACGAGGAAACTAACTGGGGCCTTGACTGTGTCTCATGGCCATTCAGAGACAGGATATGTACAATCTCCGTATGTTTAAACGAGGAAACTAACTGGGACCTTGACTGTGTCTCAAGGCCATTCAGAGACAGGATATGTACAATCTCCGTATGTTTAAACGAGGAAACTAACTGGGACCTTGACTGTGTCTCATGGCCATTCAGAGACAGGATATGTACAATCTCCGTATGTTTAAACGAGGAAACTAACTGGGGCCTTGACTGTGTCTCATGGCCATTCAGAGACAGGATATGTACAATCTCCGTATGTTTAAACGAGGAAACTAACTGGGGCCTTGACTGTGTCTCATGGCCATTCAGAGACAGGATATGTACAATCTCCGTATGTTTAAACGAGGAAACTAACTGGGACCTTGACTGTGTCTCAATGCCATTCAGAGACAGGATATGTACAATCTCCGTATGTTTAAACGAGGAAACTAACTGGGACCTTGACTGTGTCTCAAGGCCATTCAGAGACAGGATATGTACAATCTCCGTATGTTTAAACGAGGAAACTAACTAGGACCTTGACTGTGTGTCATGGCCATTCAGAGACAGGACATGTACAATCTCCGTATGTTTAAACGAGGAAACTAACTAGGACCTTGACTGTGTCTCATGGCCATTCAGAGACAGGATATGTACAATCTCCGTATGTTTAAACGAGAAGACTAACTAGGACCTTGACTGTGTCTCAAGGCCATTCAGAGACAGGATATGCACAATCTCCGTATGTTTAAACGAGGAAACTAACTGGGACTTGCGTAGCCACATGGACGACTGGGAATCGATATTCGACCGGGAACAGTTGATAAGAGTTGTGACTGTTCATGTATGTTGAGTCAAGGTACAACACACTCGCGAAACTACATATGGGTAATGTGGTAGCATCGTTTCATGATAAACATGCAATGACTAAATATATGACTAAATGTGTTTCCTTATCGATAGTCTCCCATAAACTAAACCATATATTACACATGTAATCACTGGGATCAAGTTCAGCAACGTTTTTACTAAAAGCCCTTGACATAACCGTATGACATAACATATCTTTCAGCGACATGGTTCTAAATATCACGGTTAATATTTATAATATTTTATATTTCATTAATGTACTGCTTTACTTGATGCCCTGAACACATGATATTCCACTTTTATTCGCCACAAGCTCCGAAAAATCGGTCAAGGATGTATTTTATGTTAATGTATTGCAGACACCATTGTTGAAGTAGTACAGACTGCCTGTGAAGATCCGGGTTAGAATAGGTCTTCTGTAATCACTGCATGCCCTAAGGGCGACGACGCTTGTCGTGAGAGGCGACAAACGGGATCGTGTGGTAGCTGACTTGGTTGATGCATGTCATCGTATCCCAGTTGCGCAAATCGATGCACGCATGTAGTCACGCAATTTCCATAGTAATGTTGCTAATATATATTCATATACCACGGTGTGGACAATATTCATTAGATATTTTACTCACATAGTTCTGGTATATTCACCTACATGTTAAGTTGTGGACGTATTGGCCTCCACTCACATTCCGTATCATTTTGTCGATTTTAGTGTTGTTCATGACTGATAATGATTTCACACGGGATTTTACAAGGGGGACACGGGTGGCCCAGTCGTCTAAGGCGCCGCGATTCGCTGTGCAGAGTTGCGTCCCTTGGGCACGCCAGGAACCTATGTTTGTTGGTTCGAATCCCGATTATGTTCCTAGGTGTGTCAGCACTATACCCATCCTCGTGGGAGAGAGGGAGAGAGAGAGAGAGAGAGAGGGAGAGAGAGAGAGAGAGAGAGAGAGAGAGAGAGAGAGAGAGAGAGAGAGAGAGAGAGAGAGAGTATGGTTTTACGCCGCTTTTAGCAGCGGGCTTCACACATTGTACCCATGTCGGGAATCGAACCCGGGTCTTCGGCGTGACGACCGAACGCTTTAACCACAAGGCTACCCGACCGCCCCTTGGTGAGAGAGGATCCACAGCATGAACACAGGTAGAGTAAAGGTAATAAGTCATACAGGGAAGGAGATATATATCATCCATGAGGACATGCCCGGCTACCGAACCCGGACATAAATCTTACGACTGAATTATATACCTTGTAGCAGTATTACCCGGGGTACATGTGGTGTTATGTGTCCCGCGTTAAGTTATTCTGCTTCAACGAATGTATCCTACCGATATGTTTAGTCTGACATTGTAAAGGAATTGAAACAAATTAATAATTGAAAGAAAACAACTGTTGTATTGAGCTGAGGTTAACGTGACTTTTTCAATGACTCGGCAAAAGCGTGCTGCTTTTTGTTATACTAATAATGTACCCCTCGTGATACTGCTACAACTGAGAGTATGATACATATGGTAAACTGACGGTACAACAGGCTCTGCCCTAAGTCACACATCTGTGGCAAAGTTGACTATGGAAGTCTAGAAGAGACATTTTCGCATTCTCTCCCATGGTACAAACTAAATTAATTTTGAAAACGCCTCAATTGGTTAAATGTCATGCTTTGTTTAATTTTAATCACTTTTGACTTTGTTCAGTAAGGGCGACAACGCGACAATACCAACATGTCCCTTCTAGAATGCCATACTTGACTTTGTCATGCGGTGTGAGTGTGCCGAGATACAGAAGGCATGCAACACGACGTTATCAGTCAGGCAGCGTCTCGGTATATCCGCTCAATGAATACAGTTCACTAGCTGGTGTCAGAGGCCATAAAATAATCTCATGGTCTCTGCTGGCATGTTTTCTGTGTGGTTGAAGACGAATCATATACGAGGCATGCACCGTTTCGTTCGCAACCTGGTGACTGGAAGTACTAAATATACTGAACAAGAAAAGTTCCTGTGACATTGAATAACATTTAATGCAAAGTTATGTTTTTTTACCAAATCCGAAACAATTTCGGTTTGCAACAGATAAAAGACTCCTGTAAGTGTTCAAATGGTTTAATTTGCCATACTGACTTCAGAAAATGCGTGATTTCATTAAAAAACATGAACATGCCAAAATGTCAATTTACAAATCAGTAGCGTGTGTCCACCTCTGGTTGCGATGCAAGCAACACATCTTCGTCTCATGGAATGGACCAGGCGTCGCACAAAGTCCTGTAGGGTATCTGTTCATATCTGCTGGAGCATGTTTCGAAGTTCCTGGAGTGTCTGTGAAACACGTGGTTGACGTCGAAGGCGCCGATCCATCTCATCCCACATGTGCTCGATTGGTGAGAGATCAGGGGAGCGAGCCGGCCAGGGGATGACATTCACGTTGTTTTATTGAAGAGAATCCTGAACAAGTCGAGCCATATGAGGACAGGCGTTGTCATGTCATGTTGAAAGATAATGACGACGCCAAAACCGTAGAACAACAGGGACGATGATCTCGTCGCGGTAGCGCTGTCCATTAAGATTTCCCTCTACCACTATCAAACGGGTCCTCTGTCTTGCTCTAATCCCACCCCATACCATAACGCTGCCGCCCCCGAACCGATCTTCTTCCATGACACAATGATTGACGTAACGTTCACCTCGACGTCGGTACACTCGAATCCGTCCCTCGCTGTGGCTGAGGTGAAAACGAGACTCGTCAGTGAATAACTTGTCCCCACTGCATGGCCGTCCAGCGTAGACGCTGTCTGCACCACTGTAGACGTGCTTGACGGGGGTTTCCTGTCAAATTGGCGGGTCTTCTGGCGACAATCCCTGCACATCTGTTTGTGAAGATATTCGTGGAAGGCTAGGGATGCTTCTTGCAGTCACTGTTGCTGGTTGGAATCGATTTCGTAGGTGTGTTGTTCGAATCCAGTTGTCTTGTCGATTATTGGTTACGCGTGGCCTGCTACTCCGAGGATGGTCTCTGACTGCATTCGTCTGTTGCCAACGTTGCCATAAACACCAAATGGTGTTTCTGTGGACGTTAAATTTTCTTGCAACATCACGTTGACTCGATCCTGCTTCAAGCATACCAATGGCTCGCAGACGCTCATTTTCGGACAGGCGTGGCATTTCGTAATGTCGAATAACTGCGTAACTATGTTGTTAGTGTTGTTGTCAGCACGATGCTAAACAATTCATATGGAATCCCGTTAACGCGCATGATTTTATACCCATTATTGGGGTAGTGAAATGCATGGGGCTTGCAATACATGTACTACAATATTGAAAACCAAACTTTACTTGTATGAAAAATACACTAAAATATTGGGGTCACAGGAACTTTTGTTGTTGAGTATAGTTCACGATCTCCTACCTTTTTACATTTTTTAGGAGAGTTTATTAAATAGGCTGTTTAAGGTTGGATCGTGGTCCCTTATTCCAGTATAATTCACAATATCGTTGTAGAATATCTTTTGAATCGCACATGAAAAGTGGACACGGGCCGTCTGAGGCGCTGCAGTTCAATGTGCAGAGTTGGGTATTCCAGAAAACTCTTGGCCCGCCCCGATTATGTTTCTAGGTTTGTCAGCACAATACCCGTGC